TTATCCCAGAGATTAAAAGTCTAGCGTCTAAAAACATTTTATGCTTATGGACATAGACAAGATGGCCGGCGCCATAACATGGACACGCCAATCATAAGCGTACGGTAATAAGCATACACACTAATGCTGGCAGATACATCTGCGATAACGTACGACATCTATGATGTCTCCACATATTTGCCTATTTTCATTTTATAAGGTATACGATCTTACAGCAGACGGCCGATCATAGTTAATAAATTGATCTTTGTGCATATAGCAAGCTCCGAAGCCACGCAGCGAGACAAGCATTTGTGTAAAAAGTAGATTATTTAATCGTATAATTTAATATAATAGTAGATTCGGTTTTTTTCTTTCGAAATCTGACAAGAAATTAGTTTTGGTGTTGCCGATCTAATCTTGTGATTGATCTTCGGAATGGGAGGGATAGCGAGTAGTAAAGGCAGTCGCAGACCGCCGATCAACACAGAAATGTGTGGTTCAGGACAGAGTAGAACTTCTGGTTAGTAAGTAGTGAGCAAGGGAAAGCATCATGCCAGTGAGATGTGTAACGAAAGTAGCTCCAGCTCATGGTAAGTGATTATCATTTTCATCCAAACAAGCTGAAATGGAATTTTCGACCAATAGAATCGATTCTACAGCTCGTTCATAGTCATTTTCTGGTTCTCCGTAGGCGTATACCTATTCCATATCATTTTCATCCAATCAAGTTGAGATAAAGTTTTCGACCAATAGAATCGGCTCTAGAGGTCGCTCATGGTCGTTTTCTGATTCTTCATAGTCGACTACCTGTTCCATATCATTTTCATCCAATCAAGCTGAAATGAAATTTTCGACAATAGAATCGATCCTAGAGGTCGCTCATAGTCATTTTCGGAGTCCCCGTAGTCGAATACCTCTAGTGTGAAAGTTTCATGACTGTATGCCATGAAACTACAAACATAGAGCAATTTTTTGTTGTCGCTCTGTGGACATACATACCTACAAACATACATACAGGCGTTTTAACTTGATAAGACCCTTTCCTTTACAGTCAAGGGAATAGAAGTTCTCACTCAGCGCCAATGTGGCCCATTTCGGCGCATTCTATAAGTCTCTCAAAAAAGGAGAATGGAAAAAATTGTAAAAAATGGTATGGAATGGGACGGAATGGGTCCCATTCCATCCCATTCCAGCCCATTCGGCTTTTTCCCCCTTGGGAGATTTCCAAAAACAGAAATTTCAGAAACGTGATTTCCAAAATATTGCTTCGGATCGAAAGGAGGGACGTCGATAACTGATGAAAATGGTCCCCACTGGAAATTTGGTTTTGATCTATATCAAACTGTCACACTGCCCGGACTAGTTGTCATATGGTTCGATAGCGCAAAATGCTATAAAAACATTGAAGAAAAGTAACTGGTCGGTATGACTTCACATGAAGCACGTTGCCCTGGTATGCCTCTAGTACCTCTATTGTTCACTAAAATCGTGTGTCAACGTCAGCTGATCTAGTTACCGATCAGTTTAATTTGATCAGGTAAATCCAGAGGTTTAGTCATATGATTCGTTAGCGCTTTCCGAGTGCTACAAAATGGCGCAAAAACATCGAGGAAAAACTAGTGGCCGGTATGACATCCTCTGGCCCACTTTGCCTCCCCACATTGCCTTGACCACGCCATTGGGGCCCAGTGTATGCAATACCGGCCACTAGTTTTTCCTCGATGTTTTTGCGCCATTTTGTAGCACTCAGAAAGCGCTAGCGAATAATAGAGATATATATATATATTGTCGACGCCAGAATTAAAGATGGGCTCGAGTAATTTGATAGCTCGAGAACGAAAGCAGCTATCGATCTGCGGTTTCCACCATTCAGTAGAGAACCTTGAGGGATATCGATCCATGTTGAAACCACGAATTAACCAGTGGTCAGTGTTGGTCAGTTTTCGATTGCAACCTATACAAACGATGTAGTGTTAAACTGATTTTATCAAATTTGAATTCAAATACAACCACTCGATACAGAAAATTGTTCTCTTTCCATCTGCGCAAAGCTGAGCTCGCTAGCGTGTTCTATTCAGGAGCTATAACCATTCTCTTGAGAGTTCCGAAAATTAGCTAAATGACCTTCAGTAAAATTGGTTAAGATAGGGGTAATCGACCACGTTGAGTCGAATAATGACGCTTATTTATCGTTTCAAAGTGATCTGAGATCAAGAAATCACGATTTTGAGAATTTCAACATTCCGTTGTTGTGTTTCGTATAACGTTGTTAGACTATTGATGTTGTTAATACGGCTAGTACTATCCATCCCAAAATACAAGATCCATGGGCATTTTTTGAATAACTTTTGATAGGAATGAGGTAGAGACCTGCGATTTTCGCTGTTCAGTAGCCAAGACTTGAGCAGAACTTTTCACAAGCGGAAGCGACTTTTGAAAAAATTCCAGAGATCGGGTTTTCTTAACCTCTAGCACAAAGAGCCGTTTTAGCATATGTGGCTCTTTCTCTTTATAATTTCTCTATCCGGGTCGATTCTCCAGCTATGACTCTGTCATAACTGGTCTAGCCGGGTGGGTTCTCTAGCCTAAATGACTTTTTCCCAGCATAAATGACTCTTTCCCTTCAGAGGGATTCTCTGGCATAAATGGCTAATCCCTAGCACCAAAGGCTTTTTTCGTGGCATAAATACCTCGCATTTATTACTGTCCAGCATAAATGGCTCTGTCTGTTCATAATTTGTCCATCCGGGTGAGTTCTCTAGCATAAATGGCTAATTTGTAGCATGAATGACTGTGCGATTTTTTATTACTTTCCAGCATAAATGGCTGCTTCTCTTCATTATTTGTCTATCTGGTAGGGATAATACCATTATAGTTTTACCCTTATAGTTTTATAATAAAAATTCTAACTTTTAAGATAAAGAACTGATTGTTGTTTTTCGACTGCTAGTCATGTCATGCACGTACTGTTGCAAAACGTCGTCGCAATCGTTCTCTTTGCTTGCTTTTGTGAATAATGAGGCTAAGTAAATACTGATGACGCGAGAAAGATTTGTACGGTCTACACGTTTCTTGCTTTCTATAAAGACAATAAACATGTTTTCTTGGTTGCTATATAAATAAATCATATAGGTAAAACCTTGTTGCTGTAGTACTGTAGCAAGTACATAATTTTAATGTCGCTCTACAGCCTGTAGAGCGACATTAAAATTATGTACTTAAGACATAGAGCGCAGTACCGCAGTGGAAACCATTTACTGAAGACTTGATAAATTTTATAAAGAAACTAAGCTCTCAAAAGCTTTTTAGTTCTATTTTTTCAAAAAAGTCATCACCCACTCCTCTGTATTTGTCTTCTCCCTCTATTGAAAACACCATATTAAGAATTATTTATTAACGATTCTATGAAAATTTTGTGCGTATATGGAGGAATCCCTAGCTCTTCCATGTAGGGGATATGACTTATCTGGTTTCTGGATTCCCTACTCTTTCCCAATGGTATCTGATTTTATTGGGGATTTTATCTTCATCCAAGGATTTTGCTATGCCGAAACACATACGCTCATTTAAATTCCTAAATTCCTTCACCCGTTGCTAACTTATGTTTATAGGAGGTGGTATGCTAGAAATCCTAGGAATCACAGTAGTTGGAATTTTTAGGACGAAATAGTCTTTATGTTATCTTGGAATCCTTAAAAATCTAGATGCGGATCCCTGAGGGGGTTCAAAAAGATTTGGAAGGAGGTGGAGAATAAGAAAGGGGGTCTATAGGAAGACCTGAAGTAACTTTTCCCGTGATCCTAAGATACGCATAACATCCTCTCTATTTTGTTTTATATCTGGTATTTTTTCCACACAAGCGGTGCCACGTACCATTGATATGAAAAACTGTATTGGGGTTCTCGGCGAGCTTCATTCGTTTTTTCTGGTCATGCCAGATATGGCGTACTGTTAGGTGAACAATGGCAGAAAGGTAACAAAGTTAGTTTACAACGAGTTAATACAACACGAGCATGATCCGCTGTCGACCGAGCAACTAATACACTAATTGATTATTATTCAGACGTTTTATCCGCACTTTCTACCCTTGCTACTGATCACAATTCAAATGAGAAAACCGTTTCTCCTACCAAGGGATTAACAAAACAACTAAGAGTGTGAAATTTGCTACGTGTTTATTTATTTTACGTCAAATTTTTAATATGCTTAGTCCTGCTATAAGGTGTTTGCAGAGTATCGCCGTTCATTTGAGTATTACTCTCCTCGCAATGATACCACCAATAGACTACAGACTATTCGATCGGATTCTCAACAACAATGCAGTGAAGTATTGGATAAAAGTAAGCGCTTTGCTGGAACTCATGGTTTAAATAGTACTTTTGGGGAAATACGACACGGAAAACGAAAAAAATTGATTGGTGAGCTCTGTGAAGATGAGTCACTTAGTGAATTGAATAAAAAATTACAGGTGGATGTGTGTATACCAGTTTTAGATAATATTATTAGAGCACTTAGTGATCGTTTCGACGAAAATACAGTTCAAATTTACAAATGTATGGGAAATTTTAGCGTTACAAGATCTTGTATGAACGTACAAGATCATATTTCAAGATTCTTCGCCCTGGGTCGCTCAGTTTATTGACATCTCACGATATACAGCCAAGTGATATAAGTGCATTATGAAATTTTTATTCATTGGATAAATCACCGACAGCAAAAGAATTAAATGAATTTCGAAAATATTATAAATCTGCTAAGAAATTTGTTGATGCATCAGATATGTTACCAACCAAATATCAAAAAAATTACGTCAATTTCGAACGTCAATATGTAAGGAAACAATGTGGAATATATGTTGAAAGTAATGAGGAGGACGATGACAACAACGAGAATCAAGATCCAGAGAACGATGAAAGTGAAAATGAGAATCAAGCTAACAGGAAAGATCGTTCAAAAAACGAAATAACGGCTAATTCAGCAATAGAACGAACAATAAAACCATGGCTCTCAAATAGTTTTACAAAACCACTTCGGGTATTATGGGGCACAAGTGGTTACCCACATTTAATGTGTATTTACAAAATCCTAACTGTGTTGCCGGTTACAAGCTGCAGTGCTGAAAGAGCACTGAGCAAAGTTGCTATAGCTAAAAATCGGTTACGGTCGACAATGATAGATGATTGGTTTGCATCACTAGTAATTATTGCATCTGAAAAAGATATTGTTAACAAATTAAACAGAGAGGAGCTGATTGACGATTTTGCAATGAGTTCGCGTGCATTGAAGAAAGAACTACTGCAACAATATCAAGGTTAACAAATCTCACGAGAAATTTCTTTCGCTTTCTGATAAAACAGGTCTAAGGGAGCAAGGAAAAACTACTATCCGTACCAAATGGTCGTGCTGTCGGTTGCTTTTCGAATAACTCCTCGCGGGAGATAGATAATGAAGTGCGGTTTTCAGCATTAGAAAGAGGACACTTTAAGACATCTTTTCGTAAGCGAAAGTCAGTTTCAGAAAAATTTCCTAACTTAGTTTTCCAGGAGATCTTTGAAAAACCAGGTCGTGTGTGCGAATTTTCCAATAGGATTGTATTGATTTTTTTTCATGAGCTGATAGCCCGGGATGTTCTCTTGAAAATGGAAGCCAGACGAGACCTTGATTTTCCGTGGTTCGGGCGTTGTATCGGATTTCCTACGAGTCCCAGGACTGACACCCGGTGACTATTGGTAGCCTTAAAGACGGATGGACTATGGGTAATCGTCCATGCTGAATCTTGTGGCAATATTGGATTTTAGAAAAAAATTTAAAAATCTAGCGAAAAGCGAGTTTTACGAAAAGTAGAGTTTTCAGGCTCTTTTCACCTAATATTAGAAAATTCATTATTCGC